AACATAAAAAAGATAGTTTTCCAAATTACCTCTTATTTTTATACCTTTGGATGATAGTCTTGTTTGGGCTCTAGATTACTAAAGCCCATAAATGTAACAAAACCGGAAAACGGATCATAATCTCAGATAACCGTTCAATCAAAATCGGGAAGGAAAAAAACTTCAAAGCTTTTGCATGACATCTCCAAGCACAAGCAACAATCATCGATGTTTAAACCTAATTTCAAAATCCAAAACCCTACAAAACCTCAAGCAAATCCATGGCCAATTCATCACAACAGGTCTCTCTCACCACACGTTTCCTCTCAGTAAACTTCTTCTCTTATCCTCCACAGTCTCTTTATCCTACGCACTCTCTATCTTCAATCGAATCCCAAATCCTTCTGTTTTCCTCTACAACACTCTCATTTCCTCAATCGTCTCCCATCACAATCCCACTCAAACCCATCTCGCGTTTTCTCTCTACCATCAGATTCTGAGCTCTAGATCCCAAAGACCCAATGAATTCACTTACCCTTCTCTGTTCAAAGCTTCTGGCTTTCACTCGCGGTTGCATCGCCATGGAAGAGCTCTTCATGCCCATGTGTTGAAATTCGTCGAATCGGTGAATCATGATCGGTTTGTGCAAGCTGCTTTGGTTGGGTTCTACGCGAATTGTGGTAAATTGAAGGTAGCTACATCTCTGTTCGAGCGAATTAGTGAACCTGATTTAGCTACTTGGAATACTCTTCTTGCTGCATACGCTAATTCCGGCGAAAGTGAGGAGGTTTTGCGGTTGTTCGTGGGTATGCTAAAGAGTTCGTCGGTGCGACCTAACGAGGTTTCTCTTGTGGCTTTAATCAAATCTTGTGCGAATTTGGGTGAATTAAAGGGAGGATTCTGGGCTCATGGTTATCTCTTGAAGATCAATCTGACTCTTAACGAGTTTATTGGAACTTCTCTTATCGACCTCTACTCAAAGTGCGGAAGTTTGAAATTTGCCCGTCAAGTGTTCGATAAAATGACTAAGAGAGACACTTTATGTTACAATGCAATGATTCGCGGTTTAGCAGTTCACGGGTTAGGCCAAGAAGCTGTGAAATTTTACAAGAACATGGTCTCTCAAGGATTACTCCCGGACGACGCAACTTTCGTAGTGACGATTTCCGCATGTTCGCATTCGGGTTTAGTCGACGAGGGTCTCCAAATATTTCACTCGATGAAAGCGGTTTACGCCATCGAGCCTAAGGTTGAGCATTACGGATGTTTAGTTGATCTATTGGGCCGGTCCGGGAGGTTGGAAGAAGCGGAAGAATGCATCAAGAAAATGCCGATGAAACCGAACGCGACGTTGTGGAGATCGTTTCTTGCGTCAGCTCAAATCCACGGCGACTTGGAGATGGGTGAAATTTCGCTAGAGCATTTGTTGGGGTTAGAATTTGAAAACAGCGGAAATTATGTGCTTTTATCGAATATTTATGCCGGAGTTAACCGTTGGGATGACGTGGAGAAAACCCGGGAACTTATGAAAAACCACCTTGTCAATAAATCTCCAGGGATTAGTACTATTAGTTAGTCCATTAATCTAATGAGTTTCTGTTTTTCTTTTTTCTTTTTGCATACAGAATAAAATTCATATTTTTAATCTCGAAAGGACCAAAGGTAGGATTTTTTTAATTAGAAAACAATGTTTATCCTCTTGTAACGTGATACGTGTATCCCAAAACTTTACAAAAATAGTTATATTAATGTTTGATGGGAGAAAAATATCTCTGAAATAAAATGAAAAGTAGTAACACAGTTGTTAGATTTGTCCTTCACATGGATTTAATCAAAATAATGAAATGGTATTAGGTGCTAATTGACACATCCGTATTAGATCAATGTCCATTCATTATCCACTAGTAGATATTTTCAATTGAATAGTACTCAAAAACAAGAATATAGTCCTAACTAATCACGTATCCACTAATTATGTCTTAATTACAAAACTTTTGATTAATCAATGTACTCGTAAGAGAAAGCCAAAAAAAAAAAAGTTTTTATTTTGAATCAATCTTTTGTTTCTCCGGCCTTCAATGGCTTTTTCAGCAGCAGCCATCGTCTTCTCCGATTATCCTTTTCGAGCTTCACCAATCCATTGCCATAAAGTTACCCGTTATGCCCCTGGATCCTCCGCCTCCGTCGTCTCTGTTCGACGCCGGGGTCTCGCCGTCGTTAAATCGGCGCTAATCGAGCCTGACGGAGGAAAACTCATGGACCTCGTCGTCGACGACTCGAGGCGTCGCGTGATGAAACGCGAGGCGGAGACGATTCCGGTACGGATCCGGCTGAATCGTGTGGATCTAGAGTGGGTACATGTGCTTAGCGAAGGCTGGGCAAGCCCGCTTAAAGGGTTCATGAGACAGTCAGAGTTCCTCCAAACACTTCATTTCAACTCGATCCGGCTCGAAGACGGCTCCGTCGTCAACATGTCGGTGCCGATCGTACTCGCGATCGACGACGAGCAAAAGACCCGAATCGGCGATTCCACCCGAGTCACGCTAGTTGACTCGGTTGGTAATCCGATCGCCATTCTCAGCGAGTGAGTTACTCTTAAATCCCGAAGCTTTAACTTGAAATCGGAATGATATTAGTATTATCTAAACTTGCGATGTGAGACTTGGATTGATATCCCAAAACGTAATTCGAATCATAAAATGTATGCTTATGATTTCTGATTTAGATTGGATCTCTTAGAAACTGATTGATTTATTTTGAGGCAGTATTGAGATTTACAAGCATCCAAAAGAAGAACGTATAGCGAGAACATGGGGAACTACAGCTCCTGGTCTTCCTTATGCAGAAGAAGCCATTACCAAATCTGGAAACTGGTTGATCGGAGGTGATTTACAAGTCCTGGAGCCGATCAAGTACAACGACGGTCTTGACCGGTTTCGTCTATCTCCGTCTCAGCTTCGTGAGGAGTTCACGAGGCGTGACGCAGACGCGGTTTTCGCCTTTCAGCTGAGAAACCCGGTCCATAATGGACACGCGCTTCTCATGACCGACACTCGGAGGAGGCTTCTTGAGATGGGTTACAAAAACCCTGTCTTGTTGTTGAATCCACTTGGTGGATTCACGAAAGCTGATGATGTTCCTCTCAATTGGCGTATGATGCAACACGAGAAGGTTTACTTTCGCTTCCTTCTCTTCCAAGAAACTCTCTTTATCCTCAAGAATTATGATTTTGGATACTAAGTGTTCATCTGAAACAGAGCTATTAGCTTTGGATATTGGAATTATTGACTTGTTTGATTGCATATGGAGTAGTGAAAATGTTATGTAACTGTTTCTTATTTTGAGTATGTAGGTAATGGAGGATGGTGTTCTGGATCCAGAGACCACTGTAGTATCCATCTTTCCTTCTCCGATGCTCTATGCTGGCCCGACCGAGGTTCAGTGGCACGCGAAAGCCAGGATCAACGCGGGAGCCAATTTCTACATTGTTGGCCGTGATCCAGCTGGTATGAGCCACCCCAAAGAGAAGAGGGATCTATATGACGCTGATCACGGAAAGAAAGTGCTCAGCATGGCACCAGGACTCGAGCGGCTTAACATTCTTCCCTTTAAGGTCAATCAACAACCATTGCTACTTCGTCAAAATCTTAAATTTCTTCAATGTTTTAAGTCTTGATGGATTTCGGTTTGTCTATACACAGGTCGCTGCATATGATACAACACAGGGGAAAATGGCGTTCTTTGATCCTTCCAGGTCTCCAGACTTCCTCTTCATATCAGGAACCAAGGTAAAATCAGATCTTTAATCCAAGATTCGTACTTCAGTGAGTGATAAAGAAACATATACGTGGTGTTTTTGTAGATGCGTGGCTTGGCGAAGAAGAAAGAGAACCCACCAGACGGTTTCATGTGTCCTTCTGGTTGGAAAGTGTTGGTTGATTACTATGACAGTCTCACCTCTGAGTCTGGTAATGGAAGGGTTTCACAAGCTGTCTTCTCTGCTTGAAAATGGAAACAAAACGTTCCGTGTCCCACAAGTTTCCATTTCCTTTTACAAATTGTGTGTGTGTGTATCAAGAAGCTTCCCAGTAAAACTAATGTGGTTTGTATAAAAACATATCTGTATCTGTGTGTTCTTTGCGCCTTTCGAGTCGCATCGATTTGTACCATATTTGCTTATTGTTGTTGTCTAAATGAAAAACATTTGGATTTGTGTTTTAACCGTTCTCTTCCGGAAACAGAGACTGTAAGCTGAAAAGAACTACAGAAACAGAGTAGAGTTTTACGTATGCTTTGCTACATGATGGTGGGACCCATAGGTGGTGGTGGTGGGTCGATTCCTGGCGACGGTGGGTCGATTCCCGGAGGTGGAATCTCCGGTGAGCGAGGAGGATCCCAGGTCGGAGGCACAATATCAGGTGGTGTTTCCGGCGTCGGAATTTTTGGAGTATCTGGCATCGGCGGAGGCGGAGATGGTGGGACAGGAAACTCAGGACCGGGATTTTGCGGCGGTCCAAGCGGTGGTGGATCACTGGGAACCGTCGTAACTTCCGGTGGAGTATCCGATGGTTCAATCTCCGGTATATTAGGAAGCTCCGGGACTTCTAATGGAGTCAACTCTGGTCCTCTACTCGGCCGTGAAGGTAACTCTTCTTCTGAAGGAGAACCACCGGGAAATTGAATTTCTGGCGGACCGGTTTGGTTAACGAAATCGAACCGTGTAAGATTGGAGCTCAAGGACATGAATCCTCTAACCGGTTTAAAAGCACACGAAACCGAATTCGCCGTCGTGATTAACCATGGCTTAGACTTAGAAGAGCACAAGAAGAAAGAGCTTCTCCTAAGATTTGCAGAGACCAAAGACATAACACAACTCTGCGACATTTTTTTTGCTTCGCGTCTTCTTTCTTAAGTTCTTGCACAGAGATACATAAATTTAACCGACTCAAAGTACACTGCCACGTGGCGTCAAAACACAAGTACGTGGTCATTGTAGCTTGACACGTCGTCATCATAACACGTGGCATTCTATCTTTTTCTGTCTTATTATAGGTACAAAATCCAATTATAGAGATGGGATATTTCCGAATTTTTCTCTTCTAATTAGATAAAAGATCTTTGTACTGAAAAGTCCTGTCGATTTTTTGTAATTTTTTATTATAAAATTCAATAAAATTATTTTTGACGGAAAAAAAAAAATCACATAAGTACATTAAACAAACCATAACAATATTTTTCTTCCCAAAAGAATTTAAATAAACACTACTAGTCTACTACGAAGACGTAACGGGAGTGATCCTAGGAACTTGAACAGGAAACTCGTGAATCTCATCGGTCCATGGATTCGTCTTCTCATCCATCGGATCAATCGTTTTCAAAGCTTTCCAAACCGCACTATTACACTTAAACCCTGAACCAAAAGCAATCTGCCATGTCCTATCACCTCTCTTAATCCTTCCTTTAGCTTCACTATACGCAAGCTCATACCAAAGTGAGCTACTCGAAGTATTACCAAACCGGTTCAAAGTCATCCTCGATGGTTCCATATGCCACTCTGATAAATCCAAATTCTTCTCTATCTCGTCGAGCACGGCTCTACCTCCTGCATGGATACAGAAATGCTCGAAAGCTAGCTTGAAATCGGGAATGTATGGTTTGATTTTCTTGACTTTGAAGATCTTTCGGGCCACGAGGGTTGCGAAAAAGAGAAGTTGTTCGGACATTGGTAGGACGAGTGGTCCTAGAGTTGTGATGTTTGTTTTGAGAGCTTCTCCGGCTATAGCCATTAGGTTTTTGGAGAGTGAGACTCCGATTTTGCCGGTTTCTTCTGCGTTGTTGTCTTCTTTTTGGTAAACACAGCCAAATGCATTGTCGTCGGCTCCTTTGTGGGTTCGGACCGTGTGGATGAGCTGATATTTCGAGCGGCTACGATCGGAGGAACGGTTCGAGAGAAGTACGGCCGCTCCACCCATACGGAAGATGCAGTTAGAGAGAAGCATTGATCGGTCGTTGCCTAAGTACCAGTTTAGGGTTATGTTTTCTGTGCTCACTACTAGTGCGTATGAGTTTGGTTGAACCTGCATTATTGAAACAATTTGATGATAAAGTTAGTGTCAAACTCAAAACGTAAAAACAAGATTCGTGAGTCTAAAAGTGTCATGTGAAAATTCTGACAATGGTTTTTTGTTATGCTATGATATGATCACTACATAGAAAGTCACTAGACTAGACAACAACATATGGTAGATACTATGATTAATCTATATATGTAAAAGAATGTGTGTGCATATTATTTTGTATGCAATTGTATGAAAACCACATGTGTTAGGTAATTGTATGCAAATAGTCTAACATTATAAGCTCATTTAAGAACTTTGGTACAATTTGCCAACCAGCTCTAGAGATTTAAGAAAGTTGCAAGAACGTGCTACCACGTTGGTTTCTCAAGTGTGTGTTGTATATATAAATGAAAGATTAATTTTGTCAATTAAAAAAAAAATAGATCTATCATTCGAATATGTGTTGGTAATAAATGATTATGCATCAATTCTAGATTCCAAATACATGCACTATTGTGTTTGAAATTGATCAATATTTTTGAAAATAAAAAGGTAATAAATGTATTATAGATGTATATAACAAAATCTATATATGAATAAAAAAAACATTGGTCATTAAACACAACATAATGGTTTTCATTTTCACAACTACCACCAACCCAAAGACTCAAAGCCTGTCAATGTCAGAATTTTCATAGACACGTGACTTTTACACGTAAATTTTGACCTTTATGCTTCCATACAATTCATATTAGGTGACACAAAGTTGCATCAATATAAAACCATGCAAATACCAAAGCAGTATATAACAAGTGATTCGATTTGAAAATAAATTAGTCACACCTACTTATATGTTCATAGCACGTAATAATGACATGAAAGCGAAGTCAATCCAAAAAAAAATCTAGCTGGTAGTTGTATTAAGTGCTTATTATGTGAAACCGAAAAACGCAAAATAATTATAATTTTTTGGAAAACGAAATTTTATTTTCTCCTAAATAATTGTACAATTAATAGAGTCATGAGCTGTCATTAGCCTTTTCAACATTAAAACGCGGAAGAAGAAAAAGTCAAAGAGATTTTGTTTTTCCACAAATCACGACGACTCATAACAACAACAGTCAAAACCAAACCGGATTAAACCAAATCAATAAAATTTAAGAAAATTTGTTACCTGAAGAAGCTGTTTAGCGAGATCAATGGAGATAAGTCCAGCACTACAACCCATACCACCAAGATTATAGCTCAAAATGTTTCCTCTAAGCTTATACTTATTCACAATCATAGCAGAAAGCGAAGGTGTTGGATTAAACAAGCTACAATTCACCACAAGTATCCCAATATCCTTCGGTTTAATCCCGGTCTTCTCAAGAACAGCATCAATAGCTCCAAACATGACCGTCTCAGCTTCTTTCCTCGCTTCTTCCATACAGGGATTAGGAGGAACACGTAGAAGAGCTTCAGGGAAGTAAGTTTTCTGACCAAGACCGGATCTTTCAAGGATCTTTTGTTGGAAAGCTAGGTTATCTTCTGTGAAGATACCTACACGTTCAGATCTATCCATGAATGTTTCACGAGTACATATCAATGAAGGGTCTGGTTTGTAACATGAGAAGTCAAGGAGGAAGACACGGCGAGGTCGGGTGGTGAAGTATGCGGTGGAGAGGGAGATTAAGAGTGCGGTGGCTATTGTGGCGGAGAGGAAATGGAAACGGAGGTGGTTGTAGAGTAGAGTTAGGTCGTTGAGTGTGAAAGAAGAAAGGTTTGCGATAGTTGCGGCGAGGAGAGGGAGGAGGAGGATGTAGAGAGCGTTTGAGATTAGGTAATGGTAACCTAGTTTAACATATTTGAGACGAACGGATAAGAGAAAGTTTGGGAGGTTATTTGGGTTTTGGTCGGAGTTTGTGACATGGACAGGGACAGGACGGTGAGGTTGGTTTTGAGGATCGGTCATGGTGAAAATGGAGAGA